ACTTTTTTCGCGAAAATGGCTAAACAGTTGTGTAAAAAAATATGCGCAGCCGGGAAGAGGGCGTCATAGATTTGAAAAGTTCTGAAAGATATGTCGGGCAGTGACCATTACAGATTTTTAAGACGGGAGGAGGTATACGTAGACGGTGGAGATTACGGCAGATCGCAGCAATGTGTTTAGTAGTGAACATTGAGAGCGTAACGTGCTATAAAAAGTGTAAATGTTCATACTTGGACTTGTTAAAGTTAATTTGATTTAAACAAAACTATGCATATAGGCGACAGAAAAGCGACTGAGCAGGAGTATTTTCAGCCATCAGAACTAGCAACATAATCCGGGAACATAATACGTGCCTTCACGGTTGTTTCATCGCAAAGCATGCCGGGACATAATTCTAGTCCATTTTCACCTTCGCCGTGATCAGCTGTCCTGTTGCAAACATCGGGATTCTTATCGAATCAACATCATAATCTTGTACATAGTCCGCTATTCTGCAGTGATTTTCTTCCAATCCAGTATCATTTGTACGGTAAGAAAACCAAAGTTTGTGGTTATTCATTTTTATGACTAATAATGCTGATAATACGACGTAATGAGAGTGGGCCGAGATCCAACTTTAGTAAATGTAGGCCTAGATCTAGTCCCGTATGTTCAAATGTGTGTGCATTTTAAGTAGACTGATTGTCTTTTATTTTAAGCTGCTTAAGTACACTCGTCTCGTGTTTTAGGTAGAAATGTACAGTAATATGAGATTTAAGTCTCATGAAATATGAATAGACTTTCTAGATCCTATAATTGATAATGGAATAGGGTCTACTAGAATGGCTGACATTTAGATAGTGATTGCAATTAAGTGTAAAAAAGTAAAAGAGGCCATGAAAATGATAGATTTGTCGATCTGGATCTGGATATAAATTCTGATATCGATGAGCTCAACTTGAGCATCTACGTGTTGAAGAAGTGATAAGGATTCTTTTGTTACAATCATTCTTGTGGTCACGAACTTAATATGATTGTCTTTTCCCTTATATTTATCAGTTGCAGCATCATCGAACACGGCCGATGAAACAGAAGATAACGTGCATGTAGATGTTACGAGAGAGCTCATTTCACAATGGACAACAGAAGTGTTACGTGACTTTCTACAAGGAGGGGACTCAAGCTTGGAAATCGAGTACCGGTAGTCATTATTTGTTCTCTGCCTTGACGCGGTAGCTGTTCAGCCATCCGAGGTAGACACTGTGAGGAACTGGACAATGGATGGATTGGGGGGGGGGGGGGGGGGGGGTGGGGGTAGGCATGCAGAACTGGGCGTTTATAAGCGTATGTACCTACTGGATAAGGACCCTCCATCACTAGAGGGAAAAATAATGAGAGACTACAAAGAGGGGAAGGCATATAGTTATTTTGCCTTGTGAAAAAATTAGATTTAGCCCCTAAAAAAGTGTTCCTTCGGGTATCAAATGACGACAGGTGAAACCTCACAGTTGTAGAATTATTATCTGTAATGTGATTTCCAAACCATGTGACAGCAAATGGTGTATGGTGTATGTTGTAAAGGTATTGTAAAATGCATTGTTTAACAATGTATAACAATGTTTAAACCGAGATGGACGTATGGCCCTACGTGCTACCAGTGTCTGTGATATGGTGTATTAATACTGAAGCCCTAACAAAATTGTGCTTCAAAATGATCAAGAAGTGCCTCTAAAAAGTAAAAATCTTTGTTTGACCCCTTTTACCATACTCGTTTTCCCCAATAAACTGTAGTGTTATGAAAACCGTTTGGCAAACACAAAATTTGGTTTCGATTTCCAATCGTAAATATCTTGATAATCAGACAGGCGATCGGATTGTAAAAGTCATTGAGTTCCTGACTGACCTAAATTTATCATTGCAGCATGAGCTAAATCCAGGATTTTGTTTCAGAATCTGAGAGTAAGTTACCCGATCCCTTTAAATGTGTTTGCATTAAAGGTGGTACCCCCCCCCCCCCCCCCCCCCCCCCCCCCTTCTCAGCAAAAGTCCAGTGTGTAAAGTCAATACGGGCAGATCTTTTTCTTTGTTACGAGCCAGAGATTTTGGGAACACGCATGCGGTACCTCCGTTCCCGTTCCTGGAGGGGGGGGGGGCGGGGGTGGTACTACTTCTTCATAAGATGTCAACTTATATGCATTGCATTAAACCTGTTGATATTGATCTAACTTGTATTCATCTCATGGTTATATTTATTTTATCAATAAAATAAAACAACACAGTTTGCATTAAAGGTGGTACCCCCCCCCCCCCCCCCCCCCCTTCTCAGCAAAAGTCCAGTGTGTAAAGTCAATACGGGCAGATCTTTTTCTTTGTTACGAGCCAGAGATTTTGGGAACACGCATGCGGTACTTCCGTTCCCGTTCCTGGAGGGGGGGCGGGGGTGGTACTACTTCTTCATAAGATGTCAACTTATATGCATTGCATTAAACCTGTTGATATTGATCTAACTTGTATTCATCTCATGGTTATATTTATTTTATCAATAAAATAAAACAACACAGAGAAGGTTGTAGATGAGTACTAAGCAATCATTACTGTATGTAGGACGCCGAGTTGAAGTTATTCATGATTTATTCAAGAGAGGAAGGTCAGACAGACCTGATGTTTTAAATATTTAACGAGAGAAAAATCATAAAAACAGAGAGAGGCATCGAGAGAGATGTCGACGCTTAATGAAAGAGAAAGAGTGATAATAAGGAGAGAGGAGAGAGAAAGAGACAGAGAGGGGAGGGAGAGATAGAGAGGGAGAGCAAGAATTAGGTGTGAAGAGGAAGATCTAAGAGAACAAGAGATTAAATTTTACAAATGTACACGTTTCCATGTACCTTTACTTAATTTATATTATAATGTAAACGATATTGTGATGGTCTTTGCTTAATTTTAGTTTGCATTCTTTCCTTTAGCTTTATCTTCTAATTTACTATTCTAATTTAGTAAATGTTAGTATAAATATAATTTTGATTTCTATCTCTTCCCCTATGTCATAGCCTCCATTCTTGCTCTCCCTTCCTCATGTTAGTCCATCTCTCTTTCTCTCTCTCTGTAATGATAACCCCTCTATCAATCTTTTCTCCATCAACTCATGATATGTTCCTCCTCTTCTCCTTCTCGTTCATCATCACAATCATCATCATCATCTCAAAACTGTATTAATCAATCTATAAGACTCTTTAGATTGATCAATACAGTTCTTATAACATATGACCTTTATGTACAAACAATAAACCAAATGGTCACAATCATTTAATAAAAAGTGGTAAGAACAATTATTCCAACTCTATGGGCAACAACGTAATCTCCATTTTCTCCTCCTCGTTCAAATATTAGCTTCTTTTTCATTCTTTACTCGTGTTACTTCTCTATCTCTCTGACTATACTCACAAGAAAGTAGAATCAACGGTTTGACATGAAACAGTCTAGAAAATGAACTAAATTTATTCAAGTATCAAATGATTTTGAATTACAGACAGCTTTCTCCCACGAGATGAAAAAAATATCTCCCTAACCAGAAACTGGCAAAATAACTAAATGCCTTTCCCTCTTTGTAGTCTCTCATTCTTCCCTCTAGTGATGGAGGGTCCTTATCTACTAGGTACACACAAATGTCTCTATACATAGTAGACGACCAGCTCTGCAGTCTGCATGCCTTTCTCCCCCCCCCCCCCCCCCCGCCCCCTCTCCATCCATCGTCCAGTTTATCTCTACCTCGGATGGCTGACGGTACTCGATTTCCAAGCTTGAGTCCCCTCCTTGTAGAAAGTCACGTAACACTTCTGTTGTCCATTGTGAAATGAGCTCTCTCGTAGCATCTACGTTATCTTCTGATTCATGGGTCATAGTGTTCGATGATGCTGCAACTGATAAATAAAAGGGAAAAGAAAATAAAATTTAAGTTTGTGACCAAAGAACCCTCATCACTTCTTCAACACTAGATCATGTAGCAGACGTGTATGCAGGGGGGAGGGAGTTTCGGGGGTTGAACCCCCCCCCCCCCTCCTCCAATTTTGTTTAGACTATGTGTGTGTGTGTTTTTGAGGACCCCCCCCCCCTCACTTTTTTAATAACAAAAATAAATTAAACATTTTTTGTGCTAAAGGGTGACCCAAAAAGGTGACCTTACCCCCCACCAACTGAACAAAATATCGGTCTCCCAAATTTCATATTTTCGGGGAAAAAAAGAAGGAAAAAAAAAAGGTGCTCTTACCACCCCCGGCTTATTCACCGGCTGGCCGAGTCGTTGTGAAATTGACTGCGTGATTTTCAAATTTTACCCCCCGGCCCCCCCCCCCCCCCCCCTTCGAAAAAATCCTCCGTACGCCCCCGTCATGTAGATCCTCAAGTAGAGCTCATTGATATCAGACTATTATATTCAGATCCAGATCGAAAAAATCTATCGTTTTCATGGCCTCTTTTACTTTCTTACATTTATCATTTCTAATTGCAATCACTTTCTAGGCCTAATTGTCGGCCATTCTAGTAGACCCTATTCCATTATCAATTATAGGATCTAGAAAGTCTATTCATATTTCATGAGACATAAATCTCATATTACTGTACATTTCTACCTAAAACACGAGACGAGTGTACTTAAGCAGCTTAAAAGACAATCAGTCTACTTAAAATGCACACACATTTGAACATACGGGACTAGATCTAGGCCTACATTTTGAAGTAAAATCAGTGGTTATTATTATATAATAGATGAATGATGGCGGAGTTACCACCGTTTTACTTACGGTGCGGTGAAGTGTATGAAATGAGTCAAGACGAGACACAGAATAAACAATAAACTAACCTTATATTAGACGTAAAAGGATACAGACTGGATGCTTGTCTAGATGCTGAACACGTAGCAGAATCCAGAAGTAGAAGTAGAAGTAAAAGCTCAGCTAATTAATGATGCTCAGCTATAGTGTAGATAGTAAAACCTCTGTACGTCGGAAGGTAACGTCCAGAGGATAGATTCTCGTCTCTAGGCTGGAAGTTGGTTTCCCATGTATACTCATCAGCTATCAAGATCTCGAATGACCCGGTGCTTAGGAAGTTGGATCATTGCCGCGAGTCGCGCGCCCGTAAACGGACGATAAACGAATACGTAAGCGCATCCAAGATGCATACATGTGTATATGTATGTGAAATACCTGCGCTCTGGTAAAATGACCTGCGCCTGGTCACACATGTATCTACGCGTTCACGAATATACAATGAGAGAACTGGCATAACAAATGCCATTTTACAACATTCCTCCCGGTTCATTAGATTGTAGCATATCTCAAAGATATTGCAAAATCTCAAAAACTCTCCTATTAGAGTCTAAGAAACAAACCAGGGGAACCAACCCAATATAAACCAGCCCAATATAAAAAGAATTACAAACTAAATAACCAGTCACAGTCCGTTGATACAATCCATAATTTGGCGAGTACACTAAACTCAAGGTAACCGTCCAGTAACCGAGTCTTAGGCACATTCCAAAACAAAACAGTATATAGAAAATCCTGTATTTATACAACAATGAATAATCCTGTATTGATGTAACAACGAAACAATCCTGAAGTTACCTGTATATCACGAATAATCCTGTTATTTATAACAATGGAAAATCCTGTCAAACTTATTCGAGGACAATTTGTCCTAGGCCACTTCCCTAAAATGCTGAATAAACAAGACTATTACGAAATAAAGCTGTATAGCTTGGTAAACTGAGGTAAAGGAATAACCTTTCCAATATCTGCACTGCTTTATAGATTTTAGTACAATAAAGCAATAATTAAACAGGATTGTTTTAACTGGAATGGACTGGAATTAATGAATCATAGAAACTAACAATAAAGGCTCAGTCCATTAGCAAAAGTAGATGACATTACTTCTGCCAGAGGGACCCCTCTGATGTCCGCCACCAATTTGCCGACATCACCGAGGAAGTAAGGAGTCTGGTACTCACACTCGGGATGGACCCTGAGGTGTGGGGAGTCAGTCTCTAAAAGCAGACGATCCCCGCGGATCTCGCGCACTGCGGCACGTTGCTCTTGGTTGAAGGTCCTTGCGAGACCTGCAATTCCAAAGTAGCAAAGGGGAAAGGCATTGGCCCATTCACGGACCAACCTGATGTCACCAGAGAAACAATGTAAGTGGATCCTCTGGCTCACCATGCACTTTCTCCGCAGTGTCCTCAGAGCTATCCTGTGGACTATATAGCCCATGGGGTCATCACGCCGGCCTCGAAGATGCATAACCAGCACCTTCCCGAGGGTCCCCAGATCCAGGAGGCGATGCAGGAGATCCTCCTGCTGCCCCCACAGGTTCCGGTGCACTGAAAAGTCGAGCCCGACTTCGCTCAGCGCAACCACTCGGGGATGTGCTAGGTAGTGCATCATCCGCCTCCAATGTTCAGATGTGCACATGGAGGCTTTCTTCGGATGAATCCCCACCGCGAACCGCCACAACGCTCCATCCTGAGGATTATCGAGCATCTGGCCCAGCAAAGGGTTCGCAAAGAACTCTGGGTCACAGTAGTTCCTCACTCCCCCCTCAACATGGACAAAATGATCAGGAACCCTCCCTGGAGTCAGCGGGTTACGATTTCCCCTGGACGACCTATCGATGGAGGCTTGCATCCGGTCCAGGTGAAAGTGAGCGTCGAAACCCCTATAAAACGCTGTGGCTGTATCACTGGGTCCTGCAGGTCGACCCCGAGCTGGCCGAAGCTCAGGCCGGGGAACCGGTGCGGAAACCCGTGAGTGATAAGGTTCCGCTTCAGGTCGACCTGTCGCTGGTACCTGCGGAGTAGATATTCCTGCCTGAACCTCTCCTAACTCTAGAAGTTGCCTTCTCTGAATATCCGAGAGTAGGTTGAACAGAAATACCAGGGGTCTGAAGTGAACCAACGCCGCTGGCGTGTTCACTGGTTGTAGAGAGGGAACCACTCTCGACCAGTTTTGCTGGTCGATCATCGCTCTCATCTCTAGCAACTCAACCTCAGTCACATGAGGTCGATCTGCTTGCCAACCTGAGTTTACTAGCCTGACTAGCCCAAACTCATCAGCTCCCTCTCCGATCACAAATCGTGCAATAAGGCGCAAAACAGCAAGTCGCCGCCGCAGCACTCCCTGAAATCCAGGGCCAGAATGAATCTCCTGCGCCTTGAAAATTCCAGGTAGATGGCGCTGGATATGCCGTTTGATGTAGGCCGAGGTCTGCTTACATCCCACCATAGGACACCTCTGATGGCGACGCTTCAGTTCCGGCAATACCCCAGAATGCTGCTCAATAGGCTTCCCAGGAAGGGACGAGCCAGACCAATTGGCAAGACCCCCTCTTCCGCGACCCATAACAAGAATACTCCTGCCGGTGGACGAAGGAGCTATACCCCTACCCCGACCAACCGCAGCAATACCACTAGAGAAAGGAGAGGACTCCGAGCCTGCCACAGGGGCTATACCCCTACCCCGACCAACAACAGGAAAACTGGTGGTAACGGGACGTGGCACATTCCGTTCCTGACTTACACCGGAACCGCAGGAATGCGGGTTCCTTGGTGTAGCCACCGGTACAGAACGCTTTGCCTTCTTAGCCTGTCTGTCAACCCACCACTGGTGTCTCCGCCCCCGCTGCTTTCGAGCAGCCGCCTTGGAAGCTTTGCTGGGCTCAACCGGAGTCAGAGCCACAGCACCCTTGGTAGCCTTGCTTGGCCCGCCGAGAGGCACGACCTCAGCACCCTTGGAGACCTTTCTTTTACGGGATCTACGTGATCCCCTTAAGGTCTGTGTCCCTACGGACATGGAGTGAGGAACCGCAGGTTCTGCGGGAAGCAGATCCGCGGATTCCTCTAGTGACGACGGTCCTTCCATAGGCAGGTTCGTCGTCACCGACTCCAACACTTCATGTACCAGGAGTACCGCTGCCTCCTGAAACGGATCAGGGCCCTCCTGTTTTACGCTCGCGGTCTCCGCAGCTAGATCCGTTACTACTTCCATAGCAACCGGTTCACTCTGCTCTTGATTATTCACTGAATCCATCCTGTAGAGGAGATACAAAGGTACAGACAAAAAATAAAGAAATTAATAAATTATTCACTCTGCTGTTTGCAGAATGGACAAAAATACTTGTCGAGAGTCATTCCCTCCCCTGGGGTAATTCCAACACAATGACCGTGAAACCACTCATCACAACCATCACATTGAATCATGACTGACCCATCATCGGGCTTCTTACAAAAACAATATAATTCTTTCCCTTGAACTACCTTCTGTGGACGAGCACTATTGTCGGTGCACCTCTTAAGTTTATCATGATTCATCACAAGTGCCTTGTTGCGATAAACCACACGATAGAGATAGGGGGTATACCTCTTAATGATAACAGCTGGACCCTTCCAAGGAGATTGTAATTTCTTACTCTTTCCTTTCAGAGTAGCAGTATCCAGAAGATACACTCTATCCCCCACCTGAAACTCCCTCACATGCACCTTGAGATCATAGTCCCTCTTCATACGTTCCTGGGTGGAACGAAGTGTCTTTCTTGCGGCTTCATGAGCTTTGTGGAGAGCTTCAGTCAAATGGAGTGAATAGTCATCCAACGAAACCACAGGTTCAGAAGCCGGAAGTGGGAACATGAGATCAGCTGGTATATTGATTTCCTTACCCAACATGAGTTTGTTGGGAGTGAAACCGGTACTTCGGTTAACCGTTGAACGAATCGCCCCAGCTATCTGAGAGAGATGCTTATCCCATTGGTTTTGAGATTTACCAATATAGCACCGTACAGCATCCATAATCGTACGATTATAGCGCTCAACCTGACCATTAGCCGACGGTCGGTACGGTGTAGTCTTTGCCTTATGGATTTGCATCAACTGACATAGATTGGAAAAAAGTTTACTCTCAAAATTCCGACCTTGATCAGTAAAAATCTGAAAGGGATAACCAAATCTACAAAAGAACTGTGTCACAGCTGCATGAGCAGTTACTTCAGCCGACTGACAAGGCAATGGAACACATTCAACCCACTTGGTAAACTGATCCACCATTACCAGGACATGCTCATTTCCACTGGAGGTCCTAGGAAGCGGCCCCATGAAATCGAGATGAACTCTTTCCATGGGAGCTCCAGCATGATAATTAATCAGGGGATGTTTCCCATACCTAACAGATTTTTTATTCTGATTGCAGGGAGCACACGCCCGAATATAATTTTGAATATCCTTCGACATGCCATACCAGAAATACCTAGAACGTATCTTACTCCCAGTCCGGTTAATCCCAGCATGACCGGCAGAAGGAACATCATGATTCAGCCGGATCACTTCCTGCTGCAAGGAATTAGGAATCACTAACTGAGCCTTTGTGTCATCTTCCTGGTCTCTCTTCCAAATCAGGCCATCTTTAACAAAAAATAACTCTCTGTTATTCCATAAGAATTTACTTCCTGGACTTAGTAACATTAGTACCCCGTCATCAACAGGATCATCGGATGTAATCCATCCATACAAATGAGATAACTGGTCATCCAGTTTTTGTTCCTTTACAACAAACTCGGAAGACGAAAGATCTTCTTCTGATACATTAGTGGCATTTACACTAACTCCATTAATTGAAAAAATAGAGCTCTTAGAAGAAATTTCCATATGGCTCAAATTATAATTACAATCTCCTGGATTATCTAACTTAATTTTAGAAACGTGACCTGACTTGAGTTCCGAGACCGAATCCGACTTTTTGGCTAACGGAACAACATAATCCACAACTTCAATGAAATGAGACCAATTATCATGCGCTCGGCGACAATAAGTACAGCCACCACACGGGAGATCCCGGGGTAAGACGCCTAAACGGTAATCATTACATACATCACTAGGCTCGGGAATTCGAGACAGCGCATCCGCATTCTGGTGTGCCCGACCTGGCCGATGCCTAACCATCATGTCATATTGGCCCAGTTCTTCTAACCATCGGGCCAATTGACCTTGAGGTTCCTTAAAATTGACCAGCCAAGTTAAACTACCATGATCAGTCCTTACTGTGAATGGTTTGCCTAACAGATAATGTCTATACTGGCGGGTGAATCTAACAATTGCTAATAGCTCCCGCCTAGTGACACAATATCTACGTTGTTCAGGAGACAGAGAAAGACTTCCATAAGCAATCACTCTCTCCTGACCATCTCGGAGTTGGAGTAACTCAGCGCCGATCGCAATCGCAGATGCATCTGTATCGAGGATGAAAGGATCCGTTGAGTTAGGCAAAGTCAGAACAGGGGCAGATGTCATAAGATCTTTCACTTCGTTGAAAGCCTGTTGATGTTCCGGTTCCCAACGGAAAGCATGCTTCCCTGTGAGACCATAAAGAGGCGCCACTGTACTAGCATAATTCTTGAGAAAGATCCTATGGTAATTAACCAAACCGAGGAATCGCTCAACCTCCTTTGTATTAGTAGGTACGGGCCAATCCTTGACAGCTTGGATATGATCCTCCTTGAGATGAAGACCACCGGCATCTACTTCCCTGCCCAGGAACTCAACTCTTCTCTGGAAGACCGAACATTTCTTTGGTTTAAGCTTTAGCTTGGAAACCTTAAAACGCTCAAGGACTTTCCCCAAGTTCTCTAGGTGATCCGAGAAGGAAGTTCCTAACACAACAACATCATCCAAGAAGGCAAGTGCAATATCCCAAGTTAACCCCCTAAGAACCAAATTCATTACCCTGGAAAATGTGGCAGGAGCATTGCACAAACCAAACCCCATACGAACGAATTCGTACAATCCATATTTGGTTACAAAAGCAGTCTTATCTCGGTCCTCTTTCTTCAGTCTAATCTGCCAGTAAGCGGAATTAGCATCAAGCTTAGAAAACCATGTATTCCCACCCAGTGTATCTAAGCACTCTTCGATACATGGGAGGGGATATACATCTTTTTTGGTAACCTTATTAAGCTTTCGATAGTCAATACACCATCGAACACTCCCGTCCCTCTTTCTAATTAGGACAGGAGGAGATGCCCATTCCGATGCTGAGGGCTCGATAACCCCTGCAGACAACATCTTATCTAGATGGGCCTTTTCTTCGACAACGAAATTCATGGGAGTACGTCTCATCCTTTGCTTGATTGGCTTAGCATCACCAGTATCTATCTGGTGCTCAATATCGGTGAAACCACCGAGATCAAACTCATCCTTTGCAAATACCTCTTGAAATTCTATGAGTAAATTCTTAACCAGCTCCTGTTCCGGAACCTCTAAATTCTGAGAAGAACGAGTCCATAAATCCTGAAGATGAACAGGAATTTGAGAATCGTTAGGTAACTCCACTCTTTGTACTGTCTTATCCTCTTCAACAAAATCACACATCTCGGGATCAATCGAAGGAGCTTCCTGTGCTTCTCCAACGACTCGACCCTTTCTCCAACGCAGATTCCGATCAGTAGGATTCACTACAAAGAATTCAAAGTCCTCATAAGACCTCTGTAAAGACCTTGGAATTAAACCCTTCAGACTATAGATAGGTTCCACAAGAAATTGAGAGAGAGGTACCTTTATCCTACACCTAACCCTTGCAATGGACCTGGGAGGAATTCTTACGGTATGCTTAACAAATACTGGAATGTTTGAATCACCCTACTCGCAGCGCCAATGAAGTAAAATCAGTGGTTATTATTATATAATAGATGAATGATGGCGGAGTTACCACCGTTTTACTTACGGTGCGGTGAAGTGTATGAAATGAGTCAAGACGAGACACAGAATAAACAATAAACTAACCTTATATTAGACGTAAAAGGATACAGACTGGATGCTTGTCTAGATGCTGAACACGTAGCAGAATCCAGAAGTAGAAGTAGAAGTAAAAGCTCAGCTAATTAATGATGCTCAGCTATAGTGTAGATAGTAAAACCTCTGTACGTCGGAAGGTAACGTCCAGAGGATAGATTCTCGTCTCTAGGCTGGAAGTTGGTTTCCCATGTATACTCATCAGCTATCAAGATCTCGAATGACCCGGTGCTTAGGAAGTTGGATCATTGCCGCGAGTCGCGCGCCCGTAAACGGACGATAAACGAATACGTAAGCGCATCCAAGATGCATACATGTGTATATGTATGTGAAATACCTGCGCTCTGGTAAAATGACCTGCGCCTGGTCACACATGTATCTACGCGTTCACGAAAATACAATGAGAGAACTGGCATAACAAATGCCATTTTACAACATTCCTCCCGGTTCATTAGATTGTAGCATATCTCAAAGATATTGCAAAATCTCAAAAACTCTCCTATTAGAGTCTAAGAAACAAACCAGGGGAACCAACCCAATATAAACCAGCCCAATATAAAAAGAATTACAAACTAAATAACCAGTCACAGTCCGTTGATACAATCCATAATTTGGCGAGTACACTAAACTCAAGGTAACCGTCCAGTAACCGAGTCTTAGGCACATTCCAAAACAAAACAGTATATAGAAAATCCTGTATTTATACAACAATGAATAATCCTGTATTGATGTAACAACGAAACAATCCTGAAGTTACCTGTATATCACGAATAATCCTGTTATTTATAACAATGGAAAATCCTGTCAAACTTATTCGAGGACAATTTGTCCTAGGCCACTTCCCTAAAATGCTGAATAAACAAGACTATTACGAAATAAAGCTGTATAGCTTGGTAAACTGAGGTAAAGGAATAACCTTTCCAATATCTGCACTGCTTTATAGATTTTAGTACAATAAAGCAATAATTAAACAGGATTGTTTTAACTGGAATGGACTGGAATTAATGAATCATAGAAACTAACAATAAAGGCTCAGTCCATTAGCAAAAGTAGATGACATTACTTCTGCCAGAGGGACCCCTCTGATGTCCGCCACCAATTTGCCGACATCACCGAGGAAGTAAGGAGTCTGGTACTCACACTCGGGATGGACCCTGAGGTGTGGGGAGTCAGTCTCTAAAAGCAGACGATCCCCGCGGATCTCGCGCACTGCGGCACGTTGCTCTTGGTTGAAGGTCCTTGCGAGACCTGCAATTCCAAAGTAGCAA